TGTAAGCTGCATAGGTGGATATATATATATATATATATACATATATATATATATATATATATACACATATACATATATACACATATATACACACGTGATGTCACAAAACCAAAAGTTTAGTTGGTTTTGGTGGTTCAGTTTCTATATGGGGCGTGAACTGTATATTTTGAAACAACACGTCTTACACACTACAAACTCATTTAAAAAAGCATTAAATGTTTGGGTTTCCCGTAATATGGGCTCTTTAACTATAACGTTAAAGACGTCCACATTACAAACGACAAGCAGGTTATGAATAAAATAAAATGAAGACCGTAGCGCGAAAACTGCAGCTGTTCAAACTGAGTCACTGAACCAGGCTGATGTTAGCGATGGACCGCCCCTCCATTCAGCCTCACATGGTCCACGTTCTTGAACTGAGGATCGTTTGGGGGGGGGCTCACTGTAGTGATTAATACGGGCTACCTTTCAAAAAAAGGGGGAAAGATATTTTAAACCCACCTCTGACCGCGGCTGTCAGCGTGAGAGACTCGTACTACACACGAGCCGCCTTAATATTCAACGTTAGGACCCAAACAACGAAGCTAAAGTTGCCTTTTATTCGAATTTTGCGTTCCACCTTAAATGATACGGCAGTCACACTCTGGCTGTGCAGGCGCCATGCGGCCACTGCTGCACTACTTAAGGTGGAACGGAAAATTCGAACGAGTAGCCTCGTCCCCAAACAGCAAGCAGTGCATTCTCTAGCCTCCAGACCGGACTGGCTGCTAGCAAGAAAGCTAACTGTTAACTAGTGAAAAGCTACAGCCCGTCTGTGTTCATCACGTGTAGTGACCGAGCTGCGCGAGCTTGGCTCTAAATTCTGCCTCGTTTCGGCGGTTAAATCTAAATAAACCGGCGGAATGACAGCGCTGGACGTTCCGACCGCTTACCCGAGTTTGGCGACCGCAGCGAGGGTGTCCGCCACCTCGGGAACACAGCTTATATCTCTCCCGCAGGAGACCCTGCTCCCCGTGCTGGCAGACGCCATCGTTTGTAGACGAGACGAGGAGGGAAAATGAAAGAGAGTCGGCAGCTATAGTGAAACGGCAGACATTTTGGCTCAACGAAACGTTAAGACCGCTAGCGGCGGGCAAAGGCCTCCGGAGCCGAAATGGCGGCCACAGGGAGAGCGGTTTCCTCGTTGCAAAGTCCCGCGATATTTGAAGGCGAGATTAGCTCACGCACAGGAGGGACAGAAAAAACGAACGCGAACACAGGCTACATCTCAAATGGCTCCCTACCGCCTGTTTAGTGCACTATGTGAGTTATGAAATTTTGGCTTTTGCATCAAAACAGTGCACTATTTATCAAGCAGGGAATTGTGCTCACATTACTGAATCCCAAATGGCTCTATGTTAGGCATATTATGCACTGTTTGGGTTTAGAGGACGTTATGTGAATATCACACTAGTGCACTACATAGGGAGTATGGAGCCATTTGAGATTCAGCCTAAATCGTTCCCTCTTTATAGGTCCCATATTCTACACTTTTTTCATTTTTTATTTTTCCCTGAGGTCCGCTAATTAAGTGTGTGCAGGTTTATGTCTCCAAAACAGGCCTCATTTAAATAAAACAAACAAATGTGCACAATTTTCCACTTTACACAGATGTAGTTGACTAGCCATGTTTCTAGTCCAAATTTTGCTTATTTAGTTTAGCGCTGAAGCTATAAGGCTAACATAGCTAACAAACACTAGAAGCCAATAGTCACCCAAATCTTTTCCGCAAATCTCACAACCCACACAAAACGCATCTGGGACTTCGTTGAGGTTGTACAGACTTGCTGATGTGGTTTGGACACAGTAGGGCTTACCGTGAAGTATACAAATGAATGAAACTTCACTGTGTAGCACACATTTTAGACAATCAGTTTTATGTTGAATACTGACACCTCTTTGCGCATTCGTTACACAAGCATATGGACGCTAAACTACATTCACATTTTTTGCTGATTTTACAAGACGCATATCTTCAAAATGAAATATTCAAGATTAAGAAACAACAAAAAAATTCCAAATACACAAAAAAGTGACTGTGCTGGACTGAGCTTCCACGGGTACAGCTACAGAGCCAGTCAGTCTAACTTGTTCCCATCACAGGGCCCAAATCTGCTGAAGCTAGAAACAATTACCTTGTTTAATCACACTTACCCTGGCCTAATTATACTCATTCCGCCACTTTGACGTGGTGAGCAGGCACTCATGAATAGAATTAAAAAGCATGGTTCAAATCCATTATGCTGTCCAAGGGTGGATTAACTTGGTCATGGGCCTCTGGGCTACGTTTATTTTGTAGGCCTCCTAAACCTAGTCCAATGTAACCACATCATCATGCACATCACAGGCAGTAGATGAGCAATAGACAAATAAAAGTACAGCAAATCCAAACACAACAGAGAAAGCAGATGGAATATCATAACATTTTATCAGCTGCAGCAATTAAAATACTTAATCTTTTAAATTAAATTTCAATTCAACACGCCAACCTCTTCCACAACACAGTGCTGTCTACTGCAAACCAACTAATAGGTCTGTGGTACCAGTCAAATCAGTAGGCCTATATGATGTAATCAGCCAAGCAGTAGGCCTAGGAAATGTTTACCTGAATCACAAATTTTTATTTTCCATAATAGTGTCCTATTGTATAGTGCTCAGGGGTTAAATAAGTATAAAGGTCATCAATGATAATATATAGGGGGCACGGTGGCGCCGTCACCTCACAGCAAAAAGGGCCTGGGTTCAGTTCCCCGGCTGGGCGACCAGGGGTCTTTCTGTGTGGGTTTCCTCGAGGTACTCCAGTTTCCTCCTACAGTCCAAAGACATGCAGTCAGGCCAACTGGACATGCTAAATTGCCCTTAGGTGTGAATATGTGTGTGCCTGTATATGTCTGTGTGTCTCCCCTGCAATGGACTGGTGACCATTCCAGGGTGTATCCTGCCTTCTGCCCAATAACCGCTGGGATAGGCTCCAGCACCCGCCCATGACCCAGAAGGGTAAGTGGTTTGTGTGTGTGTATAATAATATACATATCCTGAATTATGTAATAATATATAAACATATTTTGTGCTTCTGATGGTCCATAGACCTCTGAAGTCTGTGGTCATTATGTAGTTGGCAGCACAACCATATCAGGAGCATTGTGTCGAATCTGGTAAGCAAAAAGACTCCAAAGTTGATCAGTTTTTCCATATGTACATTTTCCCCGAATGTCATTGGATCCTCTGAATAACGAGGCTGGTAATAAGCTGAAATATAGATATTGCTACATGCAAGCTAGCACTGCTACACACTGAACTGACATCATTAGAATGGCCACCTCACTAAAATACCCCCCGCAAAACCAACAAGGTTTATCCAGTGTGATAGTTAAGTTGCTTTGGCAGTTTAAGTCTATAGTTTGAGTAGTTGGTGTTGGTATAAAACAGTGTTAAAGTGTCATTTCAGTGCACAGGAGTGTTAGCTTGCTTAGCAAGCATGTATGGAGCAATATTCACATTACAACTATTAAACAACCTCATAATTCAGACAATCCAGTGATACTTTGGGGTGGAAAATGTATGCAGGACAAAACCTATTGGCTTTTAATCATTTTTATTTATGGCGCAAAAGTGAGGACTTTCAAAAAATGCAGTAGACCTGCAGTGCCTAATATGCATGACGGCAACTACACAATGATGCACACCTTCATGGGGCTGAAAAACATTTAAACAGGAAAAAAGCAGTTTTTTCAAAAGCATGTGGACACCCCTCCTAATTATTGAGTTCAGGTCTTTCAGCCAGGAGGCAGTAGACCACACAAACTCCACGAGTGGGGCTGGCAAATACTGAAACACGCCGAGCGTAAAAATCATCTGTTGCATAACTCACTACAGAGTTCCAAACTGCCTCTGAAAGCAACATTAACACAAGAACTCTGCGTCCGGAACTCAATCAAATGGGTTTACATTCCTGAAACAGCTGCACACAGGCCTAAGCTCATTATGCACAATGGCAAGTGTCGGCTGGAGTGGTGTAAAGCAACGCCACCACTCTGGAGCTGTGCAAACACGTTCTCTGGAGTGATGAATCACGCTCTGGCAGTCTGAGGGACAATTTGGGGAAGGCCCATTTCTGATCCAGCATGAAGCAAGGTCAATAAAGAAATAGGTTGACGAGTTTAGTGCAGAGGAACTCCAGTGCTCTGCACAGAGCCCTCACTTCAACCCCACTAAACACCTTTGGGATGAATTAGAAGGCCGACTGCGAGCCAGGCTTTCTTGTCCAAAATCAGTGCCTGACCTAACAAATGCTTTTTTAAAATGAATTGGCACAAGTTCCCACAGACACACTCCATAATCTTGTGGAAAGCCTTCCCAGAGGAGTTGAGACTGGTATTGCCGCAAGGGTGGGCCAACTCAGTATTACTGCCCATGGTGTTGGAAAGAGATGTCCAGCAAGCTCGTATAGGTGAAATGCTCAGGTGTACACATACTTTTGGCCATTATGTGTACATCAACAGAGGGTGTTTTGTCTTCACAGTGGAAAATCACGCTCCAGGGACTACTGAGGCAGCATAGGCATGTTTACAACAGATGGAGAGATGGTTAAATTGTTCTTTTAGCCCAACGTATCCCTTTAAGTAGTCATTTATTTCATACCCATATGTTGAGGAAGATCTAGTGTCAGCATTTTTATGCTTTCAAGAGTTTGAAGAGTCGCTTCTGTGAGTTGCATCAGTCGCTGCCGCGCAAGCACAATATCAAATCTCACAAAGTAGGCATGTCTTATGTGTGTGGGTTTGTCAGTCTGTGGGTGCGGGTGTGTGTGTGTGTGTGTGTGTGTGTGTGTGCTCTCTTGTCTGTGGTATATAAATCCCCGTACAAAGAAGATTTGCTTTCTGTTTGTTTTATTGGTATTGATTTTGTCACAGCAAGACTTGCTGAGATTTAACCAACTGATAAGAGCTCTTTTTGTCAAAATGGCCCTGCAGGATGTCTGCGGATTTCAGGAGATTGCTCTGCGCCACCCGGCTTCACTCTCCATTTCTTCTGATGATACCACCCTGAGCGCTTACCCAGCAGGCAAGATGAAAACCACTTGGGGTCAACCGTTTGAGAAAGATGACGGAAGTCCACTTCAACTCCTTCTGCCACCTCAACGGAGCCTTGTTCGAAGTCGGGGCAGGCATTTCTCTTCATCCTTGACCACCATTCCATGCCCTTTCACCCTGTCCCATGGCACCACCACGTTAGGTTTCACTTTCCAGGGCGGCGTGATAGCGGCGGCTGACACCAGGGCTAGCTGTGCGGGTCTGGTCGCTTGCCCAGCCGCCGAGAAGATAATACCCATCCACTCGCACTTGGTGGTCCTACTTCAGGCAGTGGAGCAGACTGCATGCTGTGGGAGAGGATTTTGGCCAGGGAAATACGACTGTACCAACTCCGCCATGGCCGAAGACTCTCAGTCATGGGGGCTGCTAAGCTGCTTTCCTTCATGTTACATCCCTTCAAGGGCACTGAGGTGTGCGTGGCAGCTACGCTTTGTGGGTGGGATGGAGAGGATTCAAGGACAGAATGGGACAATAGTAGGAGGAAAGATGAAAGCACTTCTAGCCCTCTGCTAGAAGGTGAACCTAGTGCTGGCTCTAGCAGGGCAACATCAGGACTAGCCATTGCCATTGACTTAAGCACTTCAAAGACAGAAACTTCGGCTGCATCGCAACAAGCTGATGGGATCTCCAAGGAAGTCAGTGGGACCTCATCACAAGATGGCTCAGATCAAATCTTAACAGCTAGCCGCCAGTCAGGCCCCAGGGTGTGCTATGTGTGCAGCGATGGCCTACTGCTAAAAGGAGAATTAATTTCAGTCGGCTCAGGCTCTCCCTACGCCTACTCCATACTCGATGATGGCTGGAGGTGGTCAATGAGCGTAGAGGAGGCTGTGGCTCTAGCGAGGGAAGCGGTCTACAGGGCCACTCACAGGGATGCATACTCCGGGAACAACATAGACCTGTTCCACATCACTGAACGAGGATGGAGCCGCAGGCGCAGGGAGGACCTGAAGGACGAGTACCACAGGGAAAGGAGGAGGGAGAAGGAGATGATGCGGCAGCGGGAGGGAGAAAAAGAGAAGAGAGAGAACGTGCAGCAAATGAAGAGAGGAAACTGAGGGACTGAATAGTAACAGTAAAAATTCACAAGTGGTCTTGAGTTGATCATTGAAGTGGCTGTAAACATGTGGCTGATTTGCAAAATAATGACCGACAAAACTCTCAGCCAATCACTGCTTTGCAACTTTATCAAACTTTTTCCTTCATGTAAAGAAAAAACTCAGACAAAACTTGTTTTTACAACAAACCTGGAGTGAGAACGGTGCTGGCGGTAGTTAGAATTGTTAGCCTAAGAGGTGGTGAAAAGATGTTACTGAGCATCTGAAAGGTGGCGCTAGTTTAATTTAATTCTGGAAGCTGGACAAACCTTGTGGAAGATCACTTTAATGCTATTAACAGGAAGCTAATGCTCGTTCTAAGGTAAGCTAAACTTTATCTTGAGTTGTATTTGCTAACACTCGTTTTAATATGATGTGTAATAATGTTACAAAACAGTGGCAAGATCAGTTAGCTAGCCAGTTAGCCAGTTAGACAGTTAGTAAGCTTTGCTTAAAGTCAACTTGCAATCAAAATGTACTCATTCTACATTGTTAGTTCATATCCCTGCTCATGTTAAGCATGATTCACTGTATTATGTCATGTATAAGACAAAACTCTTCTTTTCTTGTAATCTTCCTTCAAAATGTATTGACTTTTGCCCACCTGTAAAGCCTCTTCTGAGTTTTGGCTACATCATTGTGTACTAGAGGGTGGGGAAAAATAATAGTATCCAATAATATCATTTTACCACCCGATACCGTGTTTTACTGTGAAATACGTCACATATGTCAGGAGAATGTGTTGAGTTTAACGAGACATGATAAAAGAAGGCCTTTGCTTTAGCTTAACTGCTCACAAATCTGCATTTAAACACATTCTATGCAAAGATACACATGAATGCATTCAGAGGTTTGAATGTTAAAATGTCTTGTGTACTATAGCTTCCTGTGCTTCAGGCACTTTATTTTAAAATAACACTTATTTTGTGTTGCATCATACATCAACTTTCACACCATAGCATAATTAGAAATCCAGTAATAAAGGAATAAAATAAGAATGAATGAAAGAAAAAAAAGGGTAAAAATTAACAGGAGGGACGTTTCAAATGAACTCCTTAGCACACAAGATGGTAGTTTTAGAAGTAAATACAGCAGTTTTGTTTTCAGTTTTTGCAAGAAACTTATACGTACATAAGATATGCATAAAAATCTGCTGTCTGGGGTTTACATTTCATCACTCAACAGTTATGACTGTAATATTTGTGATATTACAAAATAAAAGTACTAATACTATTAAACAAACTTGTTGAACGTTGAATAAATAAATAAATAAGAATAAATAAGAGTAATATCTCTCCACAAACATGAAATAAAGAAGCGGAAACAGCAGTTAATGGGAACATTTCTTCAGTAATATACTATATGGAACCTATGTAAATCTTTCAACTGTATTTCTTTGACCTTATTATGAACAAAAAATGTAATAGAAAATGTCCAAATCTTTTCAATGGGATGTCAGCATAAGAGATTCTCCAAAACATTTTTGCCCCAGGGAGTGTGTGCTTCATTTGGATAATATCTCATATTAATATCTCATAAGTATGATTTAGCATCTCATAATTATGCCTTAATATCTCATAAGTATGACTTAGCATCTCATAACTATGACTTAGCACCTCATAAGTATGACTTAGCATCTCATAAGTATGACTTAGCATCTCATAATTATGCCTTAATATCTCATAAGTATGACTTAGCATCTCATAATTATGACTTAGCATATCATAATTATGCCTGAATATCTCCTAAGTATGACTTATCATCTCATAAGAACGACTTAGCATCTCATAATTATGCCTTAATATATCATAAGTATGACTTAGCATCTCATAATTATGACTTAGCATCTCATAATTATGCCTTACTATCTCATAAGTATGACTTAGCATGTCATAATATGACTTAGCATCTCATATTTGCTATCTCATAAGTATGACTTAGCATCTCATAATTATGACTTAGCATCTCATAATTATGCCTTAATATCTCATAAGTATGACTTAGCATCTCATAATTATGACTTAGCATCTCATAATTATGCCTTAATATCTCATAAGTATGACTTGGCATCTCATAAGAATGACTTAGCATCTCATAAGAATGACTTAGCATCTCATAATTATGCCTTAATGTCTCATAAGTATAACTTAGCATATCATAATTATGACTTAGCATCTCATAATTATGCCTTACTATCTCATAAGTATGACTTAGCATATCATAATTATGACTTAGCATCTCATAATTATGCCTTACTATCTCATAAGTATGACTTAGAATCTCATAACTATGACTTAGCATATCATAATTATGCCTTAGAATCTCATAAGTATGACTTAGCATATCATAATTATGCCTTAATGTCTCATAAGTATGACTTAGAATCTCATAAGAATGACTTAGCATCTCATAATTATGCCTTACTATCTCATAAGTATGACTTAGCATATCATAATTATGACTTAGCATATCATAATTATGCCTTAATGTCTCATGAGTATGACTTAGCATCTCATAAGAATGACTTAGCATCTCATAATTATGCCTTACTATCTCATAAGTATGACTTAGCGTCTCATAATTATGACTTAGCATCTCATAATTATGCCTTAATATCTCATAAGTATGACTTGGCATCTCATAAGAATGACTTAGCATATCATAATTATGCCTTAATGTCTCATAAGTATAACTTAGCATCTCATAATTATGACTTAGCATCTCATAATTATGCCTTACTATCTCATAAGTATGACTTAGCATCTCATAATTATGCCTTAATATCTCATAAGTATGACTTAGAATCTCATAAGAATGACTTAGCATCTCATAATTATGCCTTACTATCTCATAAGTATGACTTAGAATCTCATAATTATGACTTAGCATCTCATAATTATGCCTTACTATCTCATAAGTATGACTTAGCATCTCATAAGTATGACTTAGCATCTCATAATTATGCCTGAATATCTCCTAAGTATGACTTATCATCTCATAAGAACGACTTAGCATCTCATAATTATGCCTTACTATCTCATAAGTATGACTTAGCATCTCATAATTATGACTTAGCATATCATAATTATGCCTTAATGTCTCATAAGTATGACTTATCATCTCATAAGAACGACTTAGCATCTCATAATTATGCCTTAATATCTCATAAGTATGACTTAGCATCTCATAATTATGACTTAGCATCTCATAATTATGCCTTAATGTCTCATAAGTATGACTTAGAATCTCATAATTATGACTTAGCATCTCATAATTATGCCTTACTATCTCAAAAGTATGACTTAGCATATCATAATTATGCCTTACTATCTCATAAGTATGACTTAGAATCTCATAATTATGACTTAGCATATCATAATTATGCCTTAATGTCTCATAAGTATGACTTAGCATCTCATAAGAATGACTTAGCATCTCATAATTATGCCTTACTATCTCATAAGTATGACTTAGCATCTCATAATTATGCCTTAATGTCTCATAAGTATGATTTAGAATCTCATAATTATGATTTAGCATCTCATAATTATGTCTTACTATCTCAAAAGTATGACTTAGCATCTCATAATTATGCCTTACTATCTCATAAGAATGACTTAGCATCTCATAATTATGACTTAGCATATCATAATTATGCCTTAATGTCTCATAAGTATGACTTAGCATCTCATAAGAATGACTTAGCATCTCATAATTATGGCTTACTATCTCATAAGTATGACTTAGCATCTCATAATTATGACTTAGCATTTCATAAGTATGACTTAGCATCTCATAATGATTTACTATCAAATAATTAGCTTAGCATCTCAATTATGACTTTGCATCTCATAATTGTGACTACCTATCTCATAATTCCAGATTCCATCTCATAATACGACGCGACATCTCATAATTATGAATTAGAATCTCATAATAATGACTGTAAGAATTATGAGAAAATTATGAGACACCAAGTCATTATTATGAGATGCTAAGTCATAATTATGAGACTGAATGTCTATCTCGATGTATTGTTGTTTCCAGCGGTGGCAGCTTCAAGTGCTACCGATGCTACCACAGCAGTGACTGAAGGAGGCGGGACTCTGTCCGTCCTCCGCGCCGTTAGATGGCGCTGGAGGAGCCGCCGCACCGCTTCATATCAGTCTCGACTGCGCAGGGAGCCGGTTGATATTGTGTAAAAATGGCGCTGTCTAGTGTGCTGCGGGGTGAGTTTGCGGATTTCAGCAGTGCTCCAGATCAGCCTTCTGCGTTTGGCTGTGGCTTTAACCAAACCGACCTGGGCTTCGGCGCCACACTGGGGGACTCCTTCAACTTGGCCGTGAAAACGATTGGAGATGAAGAGGGTCCTGAGAGGAAAATCGAGTTCCTTCACGGAACGACCACCTTAGCGTTTAAAGTGAGTTCTGGGGTTCACAGGAGGTCTTCAGTGTTTGTAACCCACAGTAAACGGTCAGTTTTCCCTTTTCAGTCGCGTCTTAGCGGCGCTGTGTTGAGCAGTAAGTCGAGCCTTGGATTGGAAATTTAGCCAAGTCACACCAGGCTAACCTAGCTAGGCTAGCTAACCTAGCTAGTTGTAAAGATGAGAAAACAGCTACTGTAGGAGTGTAAATAAAGGGGAACACCACTGATTTTCCAAAATTACTGCATAATTAAATGGTTGAGGATGTAAACCAAGTCATTCAGAGTGGTTTGGTGTGAAATCATTGGTTCTGAAGAAACTTACTGAGTCAGAACTGCTCACAGTGATGGTGATGGGAACTAGACGTCCACCTCTAAAAACTTCCTCACAGAAAGTTATTACATTAAATGGTTATGAATGACATTGTTTTCTGGTAGTTTTGTGATGAACTTTTGGCCTAAAACGTATTTTAATAAATTTATTTTAATCTGTTCATGGTGGAGGGATACATGAAGGGTGTTCCAAGGCAAAATAGTCCCTGAAGAAAACTGTTCTTATCAGATTTACCACTATTTCACCATCAGTGTTACATATAAACACGTGTAGATTCACTGTGGTAATTAAAATGACTGTATTTGTATTGTAGACATTGTGACCCCTGGCTCCAATCACCACCATTGTAAAGAAATCTGTGTTGGTAAGTTTCTTTACAAGGAACCATTTCACATCAGACCACCCTGAATGACTTTGTTTACGTATCAACCACTGAATTATGCAGAAATTTTAAAAAAAACTGGTGGAGTTGTCCTTTAATGCTGCACACATGTATTTATATATCTATCAGTCAGTATAACTGTCTGTCTAATGTTAGCTGGCCAGGGCCATATTTTCAAAATATCTGGTCCGTTGTTGTTTTACTGTCATTGGCCCAGTGCCATTTTCAAGCATGTCAAAGTAAGAACACTGAACTCAGATCAGCTCTCATCAGGTCATAAAGTCTGTTCAGTGATGTATCATAGGCATAAGCTGGTCTCAGGTCAGCATTCATAGTTTACTTATGGACCATTGAGTTTATTTAGATTGTGTAAGGCTCCTGATTTTGGGACATACCTGCCTAGACTATAAAGGGGAATTCCACTGATTTTTCAAAATGCTTAAGATGTCAGCAAAGTCATTCAGTGTGGTTTGTTGTGAAATGGTTTATTGTAAACAGACTAACCAACTCTGGTTTCTTTACAGTGGTGGTGATTGGAACCAGGGGTCAGAATATCTGCAATGTAGCCGTTTTCTTTACTTTGCAAAAAGACCAGTGGCCCTACACCTGTTTTCTCAGTTTTCATATGTGTTGTTGATTAATGGTAAAATGGTGGTATGTCTGAAAAAAATATTTTTTTGGGGGGCACTACTTTTGTCTTATAACACCCTGCATGTACCTGCCCACAATCTAGGGATATATAAAAAAAATTAAGTTAAACCAGCATAAAACTACAATAAAACAATGTCCAGGCGACATATTTGTGAGTATTTTATGTAATAACTCCGATGCTGCTTTTAGAAATATTAAACGCTTCAAACATCTGGTTCCCATCACCATCAGTGTGAAAAGTCTGAATCGACCAGCTTCCTCTAGAATGGTACAATTCACATGACTCTCAGTCCTTCTTAACAATTAAACTATTTAGCCATATTGAAAAATTGTTGGATTCCCATTTTATGTCTTGATCAGTCATATTTGGGTATATGTGATATACCCAAGCTCAAGCTCAAATGATCTTCTCCAGTCTGATAACTCATGCACCAAATTGTCCTAATAATGTTTTGTTTAGCTTGTCAATTAAAGTAGTTCACCTTGACAGGTAAATAATCCCTGAAAATGCTGCAAATATTACATATTTACTGCGAACTTAGTAACCAGGCTCCTCACTTGTTCCTTTTTTGCCCAGTGTAGTAGTTAATGATTTGCAATCAAGATGAAATGATTTTGATTCCACAGAGATGGTTTTTCATTTGATTTAACTTCCCTAATCAAGCTGAGTTTCTATATGGAATTCAATTACATCAATTTCAGTGCATAATTTCGTTAACATACCATATTTCATGAGTGCAAGTTATATTGAAGAATGACAATAAAGACCACTTGACTTCAGTTGCATCTTAATCCTAGTGGGGGCTGATGTGCATGCTTCTTTTGTGAAAAGAAGTTATGTTTTAACATATATGCAGGAATGCACATGCATTTTTTAGTGTCTTTCGTTCATTATAATTCTCTCCCAGTTCCAGCATGGCGTCATTGTAGCCGTGGACTCCAGAGCGACAGCTGGTTCCTACATTGCGTCTCAGACGGTGAAGAAGGTCATCGAGATCAACCCATATCTGCTGGGCACCATGGCAGGAGGAGCTGCAGACTGCAGTTTCTGGGAGCGCCTGCTGGCCCGGCAGTGCCGCATCTACGAGCTGCGCAACAAGGAGCGCATCTCGGTAGCTGCCGCCTCCAAACTGCTGGCTAACATGGTGTACCAGTACAAAGGAATGGGTCTCAGCATGGGCACCATGATCTGCGGCTGGGACAAGAGGGGGCCAGGTAAATACGAGCATTTTCGGTTAGGGGTTCTCAGTTGCAGTCTTAGACTAAAATACAGTGCTGGAATAGAGATTCACTGACTCACACATTGTACTGTAACAAATGGCATAGCTGAAGTAGATTTCAATGATTGGTAATCATTAACTATGTTTACATCCCCACCAGTGTTTCAATGTTGATAGTTTCTAATCTGCAATCATGTAAACTGCACACTTTGTCACCTGAAAAAGCTCTTGCTTGATATTGGCCAGCATTTTTGAGAGATTTAGACATAGAAACTAGGGATGGCATCTCGATAGTTTGGGTGCCCCTGATCAAATTGCGAACACATTTCTGCACATTTTATTGCACTATTACTGTTTCTTTGCTGAATTTGACATATTTAGGGGAAAAATAAAATACAAAACGGCCTGTACAAACGTTATGGCACATTTTACATTTAGTATTTTATGTTTTTCCAATATGTTAAGCTCAAACAAATAGAGATTGTGCACTAAAATCATTAATTTTTATGGCTGATACAAATTTCTTTATGTCCACATTTTTATTACCTGATTTTTTTTAGTACATATATTTTTAATCCAAAGCTTACAGTGTGCTCTAAATGAAACATGGAACACACTAAATCATTTTCAGTACTTTATGCTAGCCAAAGCCGCAATATAAATATCACTAATTGCTCTTTAATGGGTGCTTTAATTTTTCAGTTTAGTTGCATTTAAATAACATGAATCAAATAAATTGCTACGTTGACAATAAGAGGCAACGGGCTTGTTAGAACGGTAAGTCATGTGTTATTAAGTTCCGACATTTTCGTATAGTTTATCAGCAGCATTCATATACATTAGTGCACCTACCTCACTTCCTTTTTTATCATAAAATTGCAGCATGCGTCTTGCAAAGTACAAACAGTGATTGCTGATTTCACATTCTGAGCAAAAGTCTGCTGATTCCAATCTTGGATGATGCTGCCTCTGCATCCTTATTTAGGTTTAGTCCCTGCAGAGGATGTGTTAACTTGCTTTTACTTAAATACTGTGTGAATGAGGTTAGTTTTAAATGGGGGGGTGGGGTAGCGTAATTTTTCCACAGGGTGTCTGAAATGTTTATGACCAGTTCGCACAGGATAAGAAATCTTGATATAAGAGAGTCGCTTCTTCATTTACAAGAAAACATGTTAAAACATTAAATTTAGTACTTATTTGTTACCCTATTCAGATGTCTTGTCATAAGTGTAGGCAATGTGCCACCAGCATTGCCATTAGCTTGGGAATTCACAGCCAAAAGCCAACATCATGACATAAAATCAACTCAGCGCCACAGAGAACAGAAGTTAACACTCTTTCACTTTTTCACATAAAGCAAGTGTTTTTACTGACTTGTTGATTTGCACGGATTAATGTAACCTGGGCTTATTTCTACAGCTCATTTTACAGCAGGAAAAAAGTGCCAGAATCTTTACAAACGTAGGAGCATAAAAATGACTGGCATCGTGTGTTTGGATGGGACTAAAATACCAGAGAAACGCTGGTAAAAATGACATTAACCCACATCCTTATGTAAAACTAATCCTGTTCAAATAGGGCTTCAGACAGCATGTAACAACTGTGTCATATGTTTGCGTGCATTTGCACTTAGTGAGGGTGTGTGAGGGGTACCAGTGCATGTTTTCAGGTCTTTCTCTACTGTAATACTCAGATAAATCAAAGTTCTCAAACAGAACCTGCCTGCTGTGCCACCCTCTAACAAAATGATTCCCTAAAATCACAACCCCTAGAATTTACAGTTGATTAAAGACTCCAGTCATTTGAGCATGAGTGCATGATATTAGTATCTCCCCCTCCCTCACACTTTACTCTACTCTGATAGGATGCTCCCACATGCCTGGTATTGATCATTAACAGTGGCTTCCTTGAAAGATAAGAGACCCTCACAAGAGTTTTAAAGTAAAATCTGAATTTTTTATACACCCTAATATCGATGCGTAGTTTGCTCTTCTGACTTTAACACAGAGCTTTTGCGAAGTGTCCCAGCTTTTTCAGCTTAACGACACCAAAAAAAAAAGAGAAAATGCTGTTATATTCTATGGCAGGGCACGGATTCCGCAGGTTCTCCTCTTGTCGTGGACAGATTTATTTATTTTTTTTTGGTCAGCTTCAGTGGAAAAGCTCTGCTTATCATGTGTCGGTTTTCACGAGGTAACCAATCAAAAAAGAGGTTTGATCAAATTGAACCAGAGTGCGAAAGCAGCCCCAGTTGCACAAAAGTTTTGCTCACATTTGTGATTTCAAATATACTTAATGTGTTTATTCACTGGCGAATGTATGATCCTGTACACTTACCACCGAATTTGCTAAAAAACCTTGAGAATAGACAACAAACTCTCCAGTAAGCGGTGACGTCAAAACATTCCTAGTTAGCGCAAGAAACATGCGTAATGACATCACCAACTAATTGACTATTAAATTGGTTGCCAACTAATCCGGTCGTTGATTTTAGTCGACTAAGCCGATTAATCGTGGCATCCCTAAAATACGATGCGTCTGTTACCTGTTCATGGCGTTCAAGACTCTTGCTTACGTTTGCTAATGTTTACATGGGCTACTTGGTTTATAATGGGAAGAATTAAACCAGGTAGCAATAAGTCCTAGTTTCTTTACTTCGTTTACTGTGATACAGGGTTGAACTTCCTGCCCATTAAAGATCAAAGTTGTCACAGGCAGGTTCTTCACGGTTCAGACGCATGGACGTTTTCCGGAAAACACTCCACTGTCTGAATGCAGCCTTAGTCAGAAATAGTCGTTATTAGCTATTAAAATAGAAGAAGAAGAAGAAGAAGAAGAAGAAAGGAGCACAGATATTTTTAAAAGGTGGGGAACTCATAAGTGGATGCATCATGAAGGAGATGTTTCAGGTTACATGCTGTCATGCATGTAAACAGCTTGGTTTGGTCCACTTTAGTTTCTTGGACTAAGTAATAACTTAGTCATGCTCTTGCATGCATGTAAACGTAGGTGTTGCAGTTGAAATGACAAACATACAACAATCTGGCATAACATTATGACCACCTCCTTGTTTCTACACTCATTGTCCATTTCAGCTCCACTTACTATATAGGTGCACTTTGTAGTTCTACAATTACAGACTGTAGTCCATCTGTTTCTCTGCGTACTTTGTTAGCCCCCTTTTACCCTGTTCTTTAGTGGTCAGGACCCCCATGGACCCTCACAGAGCAGGTACTATTTGGGTGGTGGATCATTCTCAGCACTGCAGTAACACTGATGTGGTGGTGGTGTGTTAGTGTGTGTTGCGCTGGTCTGAGTGGATCAGTCACAGCAGTGCTACTGGAGTTTTAAACACTGTGTCCACTCACTGTCCACTCTATTAGACACTCCTACCTTGTCAGTCCACCTTGTAGATGTAAAGTCAGAGGCGATAGCTCATCTGCTGCTGCACAGTTTGTGTTGGTCATCCTCTAGTCCTTCATCAGTGGTCACAGGACGCTGCCCACAGGACAGCTGTTGCCTGTATATTTTTGGTTGGTGGACTATTCTCAGTCCAGCAGCGACACTGAGGTGTTTAAAAACTCCAGCAGCACTGCTGTGACTGATCCACTCAGACTAGCACAAGACACACTAACACACCACCACCACGTCAGTGTTACTGCAGTGCTGAGAATGATCCACCACCCAAATAGTACCTGCTCTGTGAGGGTCCATGGGGGTCCTGACCACTAAAGAACAGGGTAAAAGAGGGTAACAAAGTATGCAGAGAAACAGATGGACTACAGTCTAATTGTAGAACTACAAAGTGCACCTATACAGTAAGTGGAGCTGATAAAATGGACAATGAGCACAGAAACAAGAAGGTGGTCATAATGTTATGCCTGACCGGTGTATAGTATATATCTTAAAGCTACTCCACTGAAGCCATATGCGGCTTTTCTCCAGCTAAACTCTTCTTCGTCTTTAGCTCAGTGCACAACTGCGAATATGTTATGGGGAAAACCTGAATTCTTATACTTTCCAATTATGCTAAAAGTTCTGATATCTCTTGTTCTGACCTCCATTCATTCATTCCTTTAGTATTATCATGTTAAGAATGACATTTATCATCTCACCTCTCTCTTCCCAATTTGGTGGAGCTCTCAGTTCAGGAGATTACGTGGATGCCAAGGTTATATTTATGGCTTTATTATTTTACAGATTTGACCTTTAGCACTCAGCCTCTGTTTGAATGAAAGGTCACTGCATTGGCATTTATTCATATTAGCCTGGACTATTTAATACAAAAGTGCTTGATTTGTGATGGGACCAGAACTTTCCTATTATGTTGGAGTATGATTGCAGCAGTTGGCATGGTGACTGGCTGTGTAATCATATTCTATGCTGATTTGGCCCATGCTGTCTGATGAAACGGCTCTGTATAAATAGCTTCGTAGCTCACTGCGATTTTGTCTGAGTGTAGCCGGGGCTCATTCAGTATGCCCTAACACGAGCGCGCAGAGGAAAGGAATTCCTAAGACCGCTTTAAAATTGTTGTTTGCTGCTTGTAATGGGCTTCGAATCGGCGCAGGCACAGAACCGCTGATTGTTTAAGTAGCAAGCTTGTCCTGTTCTCGTTTCGCTGGAAAATGAGGACGGAAACCTTAAGAGCAGCAAGGCTGAGGGCGTCAAACAGGATTTTGAATGCTAAAGATAACCCTTGTGTTTTAAGTAATGGTTCAGGCCAGAAATCAAATTTGCACAATTTTCCTGTCGTCCAAGACGTGTTTGGTGTCTGATGTTGACTTCTTTAGTTTTGCGTTGGAGCGACGGAGCTCAGGGCTCCCTAACTTATTCCAGAACTGTCCCAGAAGCATCCCGAAGAATTGTCAGCCATCCCGAAGTGAAAAACGATCATCCAAAAAATAAATATTAAATGCTTAGGTGCTATAAGACGTCGGCACTGTAAGCAACATGCACTCGACTCTATTCTGTGAATAATTCTACCAAACAAAG